TCTTATTTGAATCAGATTGTAATTGAAAGTTCGCCATATTTGTTCCATGTTGGAGCCTAATTACTTTGGGGAGAGAAGCATGAATAAGGTTGAAAATAAGCTTCATAAACAAGTATTTCTGATTTGTTTGATTTATTCAGAATTATTTGCTTGAACATGGTAAGAAATGTTATAGTGTACGGCTTGAAATGTTATACTTTTGCCAGCAGACTTTTTCACCCAAAGTTTTCTGCATGTCACACGCAACGTAATATTACCGTAATTGATATAGTACAGGTGTGATGGTTCAAATACCAAAATGGCAACAGTAACAGAAAGACTTCCCTGGCGGCGATGATAAAATACGAACATGTATCTCCTCCTACCAATTTAGGATAAAACTCCTCAGACATAGCTCATTCTACTTAGCTTGAGTGTGGGCACAAAGTTGATTTTTTGTGATATCTTTTTTTATTGCTGAGAAATTTGACTTTTTTGGTTGGGCCGATTTGATTCAAACTTGGCAAGTCACACCTTCACTCTAGTTAGGTTGTAAATTCTAAAAACAAATTCTGGTCCACCGTTTCCATAGCAACAGCCAAAAAAATTATTTTTTTGTATACCTCAGACTTCTCACCCTAAGTAGCTCATTCTACTCAGCTTGAGTGTGCATAAATTTACTGGTTGTTTTATGTCTATTTTCATTACCGAGAAACTTGACCTCAAAGTTGGGGTAACTTTTCACCAGCAGCTTTTAACTGCTCTGTGTTTTTTTTTTTTTTTTTTTTTTGGCTTGGCTAATTTTGTTCATACATGACAGGCAGATCGTACCGTCACTAATTGAAAAAAAAATCTTGCTCACCGCTGCCATGGCAACGGCCAGAAACTGATTTTTGAATACTTTCGCCCCAAATTTATTACCTCCTACCAGTCTTGTAATAGCAGTGTATATGATCATGTTTTTTTTAATTTTGGTTACATTGCACACTGGTAAGAGATCACCGGCGCCAACATTGTTACACTGTATCAACGTAATCCCAACGCAACTTTGAACTATGAATGAACTGTAAATGCTGCCTTCAGTCTAGAAAATACTATTGCAAAACTGTTGGAAATACAGCAGAATACGTCCTAGCAATACAATAAAGTTACTTCTAAAGACTGCACGTTTTTTTGCGAACTTCGTATACGGGGCCCGGTTTTAGTTATAAACCGACGTTAGCTTCACGTTCATGTTCTACCATGTAAACAATCGAAAACATGATGTTGCTTGTTTTTGAGCGAAGCGGATAGCCAACCAGCCTACCGGCTTGTTTTATAAACTGGCCTGGCAATTCCCACCACCAATTAGACCATGTCACAGCATTTCGGCAACTTTTCCAACAAATTCAAAATCACTTGATAATCTTGTGTACTTTACATTTGTATGATTACATTTTAAGTTACTATAATTTTAATGCATACATGTACACTCACAAAAATACCCCCAAAATAAGAGAAAATAGGATATAGCCTTGACAAAAAGGCATTATTTTTCCTTGTCTTAATACTGCATTTTGTTATCTGTGTAACTTCATGTGGATATCCTGATGAAATTTAAAGTTCAGTTCAGTTCAGTTCAGTTCAGTTCACAACTAACGGTTTTCAAGTTGCAATATAAGAGGCTGTGAACTTGTCCATGGAGACTGCAAATTAATAAATATTGTATTCACTGACATTTATTTTGTATTTACATTTGTAATGAGTTTCCACAGTATCTTTTTCTTAATAGTGTGGCTACAGTGAATGTGAAGTGTTTTTGTTTTGTCGATTGTTGTCAGTTGTTTGTTTTGTGTTCTTGGAATTTTGTTAAAAAAAATCAACAACGGTTAAATAGGTAT